AATTCTTTTGGTCCTCCTTCTGTTTAGATTTATCGTCTTCAAAACAGTATGAAGCAGACATCAAGTAGTGAATGACGATAATAAACAAAAATTGAGATCTTCGGTCAAAAAACTTCATTGTTTAGTACGGCCTATTAACCAGTAAAAATTATATGGCAAACTCTAAATGAAACTAAAGGAAGGAGACCATAAAAACAGTGATACGCAACCACATCTGATTCTGTCACAACTTACTCGGATTCATAGGTCAACCTGAAACATAATCTTCAAATATTAGTGAACCGAGCAGCGAAAATGAAATCATATAATACTATCTGGTTTATTGGAAAATCTATAACGTGAACATCTAGAAAACGTTGGATGCATGAAAGTAATTAAATAAATAAAAATAGACAAGAAAATGAGACGTGGAAATGACGAGATGAAATGAAACGTCAAAAACAACAAATTATAGAAATATATTTGTGCCAAACAACATTTCTCCTACAAAAGACACACTAATTGCTGATTTCGTTTGTGAACGTCATTTGATTCCAATCATAAATAATACACCACGATAGCAAAACCAGCATTCAAATGATGTGGCTCACGCAGTCATCCAACACCTTATAATATTTTTCTGTTCTGATATGTGTTAAACTTTTCCACTCATTTAAAACATTTAAAACGTTTCATTATGCAGCAGCAGTATAGCAGCAAACCACAAATCGACTAAACAGTGATCGCTAAATAACGTCTGGCTAGTTAGAATTCAAAGGGCACAATTGCTGAAAAAAAAACTTGGTTGTCAGACAGCTCGCCCTGTTGCAGCCGTCAACTACCAGTTAGCAGCTCACGTGCGTATAATAGTCCCAATATTTGTCCGAACTGCTGCAAAGAACGGTTTGACTAAACTGTTCGACAAAGTTTGTTTTAACATAGTTTGCTGACAGTACCAGTCATGATGTCAGGCGTTTCTGCTTCCTCTTTTACTTCAAAATGCATTCTTGTTAAGAACCTTACAGGAGATTCTCAAGAAGCCGTAAACTGTATTACACACTACAGTACCTAACTTTTTAGGGATAGTGGTATTTCTGAGCTCTAGCTCTTTAAGCTTTCTAAAATTCAGAAGTTACATTTTGATTTGGACATTTTGTTCTGCTGTCCATATACAGTGAATTGCTTTAAAAAGTGGGGGAGTTGGTTTCTGAAGCGCAGCTCTTTTACTTTATGCATTTATAACTTCAAAATTTTATAGCGAGAGCTCAAACTTGTTACAGCTTCCCTACGGTACAGCATCCTTGCTTTTCGACTATCTATCTATATTAAAGCATATCAGGAAGCAATGACGCTCCATATTTTATGGTAAAAAAGAAGCAAAATGTGGATTCAAAAAATAGCATTAGGGGGACTAAGTTGAAATACTCCTGGGTTGGTTATGTCATTTCAGAGAAAATAAGAAAGTACGGCTTTCTGAAACAACCAGAAGAAAAGGCGAAGATTTGGTATTTGACAGCAAGGTGAGAAGTACCGTTGAACTGGCATTTTTGAAAGTACCCGATCAACAAGGAGTTTAGTAGTCCCAACTGAAGCGAATCTATCGCGAAGAAAAGCTACGTAACGCTTTTTAAAAGCACTGAAGGGGATTTGAGGATGTGCTTTTTACTAAAGAATATTAACCTTAAAGCCACTGAGTGATTTCAGGCCGACTAAGACTGTCTAAAGGCCAATTTAGCTATAAAACAGGTTCTCGAATGTAGCCATTCCAGCAAAACCTCGCTTTTCTTAACTGTACACAGAAAGTGCATAACCTAGGAACACCAACTTTCTGACTAGTCGCACAAAAGCATCGCTTTAGCTCGCGGAGTCGGCCACTTCACAAAGTTCCTCATAACACCAAAGGAAGATAACTGAGAGGTTTCCAAGTTCCGACCCAAGTTCCGAAAAAAGTGCTGGTGCAGAATATTTTGGAAACGGAATAAATTTAAAAAAGCAATGCGTTCCGTTGGACCCTTTGAGTTTGCTTTTTTACACTGACTTTTTCAAAGAGACTATATGGAGTTCAGCGATTGGAAGCAAATTCTGCGCTGCTAGATGCCGCTCATTCTATTCGTTAATATATCTAAAAATTAAGTTCTGTGACCTTCTAAATTTTTAGAAGACAGGGAAATTCAGAACTTTTATATTTTTTGAATTGCTTTTTCTCTTAAAGCCAGGAAAGCTCAAAATTTTAGTCTCAAAGTGATAAAGATAAGTCTTCCAGTGTGATAGTTGATCAAATTTGCCGGTTCACCAGTCTCTAATATTTCTCGCTCTACAACAAAAAGTTGAACGGAGGTATTGTGGAGCTGTCGACTATCTTCCTTCCTTCTCTATCTTATCCTATGCCGTCGTCCCCAAAAGGAAAGAATTGTTATAACTTAAAATGTATGAGAAATAATTTTGTATCATTTAATACGAGCGACAGTATTAAAACTTAGGTTTTCGCTAAAAATAATATTTGGAACAAAACGGTCAGAACTTCTAGTTTCAAAACGGTTTTTTCAGTAATTTGTAATAATTTGTAACATTAAAACATTTACAAAACGATATTACGAAATCGAGATTGAAAAAGGAGCAAACTGGGGTTATTTCAGCATCTGTTGTCTTTGGATTACTGTTAATTCAAGTTCGTTTTAACCGTAATTTTTTCCATCCGTGACAACTAGAGTTCGCTCTACTGTGTTTAGCACCTTTTGGGTCTACTGCAGTCATCATTCGACCTGCATTACTGCATAAAGTTATTGCGGTTTCTTCTTACATAAATTTCTTTTAG